TATATATAAATATGTTTTATGTATGTGTGATATATGATTTTTTTTCCTAAAAATCATACATATATATATAATGTTTTTTAGGGAAAAATACATATATAACACATACATATAAAACATATAATAATTATACACATATATAGATATATATGTATCATATGTATATATATGTATATATGTATATATAAATATATTTATATATGTATATAATTTTAAAATTTTTATAAACATGTTTATATATGTGTATAATTTTATGAATATATATAATTTTTAAAATTTTATTTTTATTTTTATTATTTTATTTTTATTTTATGTTAATTAATATTATTAAATATTAGGGATTGATGATGTGGCAGATGACTAGGATGCCATGTCAGCATAAATAATATTGTTTTTCGTTCAGGGTTTTATTTGCTAATTTTTAAAAGTATAGAGTTTTAATTGCTAATTTTTAAAAGTACAATGTTTTTTTGGATAAAAAAAAGTACAGGGTTTAAATTGCGACGAGAGAAAAGTACAGGGTTTTAAATGGAATTATCCCTAAATATATAAATAAACGAAATAATCAAATTCGGATCGTTTGTCTTTTTTTTCCTGATTATAAATATAACAGACCACTCATTATGTCATCCACACACTATATATTATACGGATCCGGATACGGTAGATATATTTGTATGAACCCTCGTTCACAACATAAAGTGTAGATTTCCATGTACGTAATCACTTTGTGAATTAAAATGATAAATGGGTGCTCTAAATTGTTTTTATTCCTTATTTTAATTATTTAGGGAATTATTTTATCATAATATTATTACAACAACATATGAAAAAATCGCCAAGGTTCCTACTACTACTGCATAGACGTTTTGTATATAAACAGAAACCCTAGATTCAACTATTTTTTTTGGCTTTTTACTTTGGTATAGTGTTGAAATTCGATTCACTTATTGAAAACTCAAGAGCGTAAACAATCACTTTCTCAGGTATTAACATATTCGAAATGTGATAATGCAAGTTAATGACTTGTGGGAAACATAACCAAAGACACGAACAAATTATTTGAGCACAACATGCATCGATTTGAAGGGCATTATTTGGATCATATATATATATATATATATATATATATATATATATATATATATATATAGAAATGACAGCAGA